ATAGACTTACCTTGCGTCTCTCCTCGTCTCCCGGCTGAAAATCCGAACTGCGTTTGCGCCCGCCCCAAGATGCTTTGCGGCCAACCAGAGATTTTTAGATTTTCGGATGGGAGCGCGCCGCGAAGACAAAGGTAAGTATAGCAGTAGATATATGCAAAGAAAATGGAGGGTTTAATAACCCTTTAAGGTGAATACACTGCTCACTTTGTGAGGGAATTTGTACTTTGCAGGGGAAGTTTCCCCTTAGGTTAGTGAATGAAGTGAATCTTTGATGACTTCCGTCAACCAATCATGTGCAAGGAAAAATACTGCGTTTTCAAATTTACTTGCAGATGGTCGGGTATTCTTTGCAAAGTGAAATTTCTCCACATTTACCAAGCTAAGGGGACTAAGTCTGCAAAGTCCAAATTCCCTTGGAAAGTGAGCAGCCTATTTCCCAATTAGGAGGCCGGGGGGCAAGCCATTACCCACCTCCCGGCTTCCTGATTGGCTGGAAAGCTAGCTCCATGCTCCCTCATCTCTTGGTGACAAGAGAACATGGAGCCTGCTTCCTGGCCAACCAGGAAGCCAGGCAGCGCGTAATGACGATAGAAACCAGAGCTTTTTTTTTTTCATTTCTCATACATGCTGGGGACTAACATTTTTTTAATCTTTTTGTCCAACCTGAAGTTGGGATCGCCTGTTATGATAAAATTTGGGTGCTGCATTTTGTCACCCTTTGTTTTACAATGCTAGCTGCCTAGATGAGTCTAATTCAATTCTTCAGAGTCTCAGATCCACAGCAAGCATGACAGCAGTCAGAGAAAAGTCAGATTTCCTGAACACTTGTTCCAGGTCAGAGACTCAAAATACTCACACCAAAGCCTTTGTCTGATAGTCAGGCAACGAGCATTTTCCTATGAAGAGTTGCCTTGACTTATTTTTTACAGATATACCGTGACCTGGATGAATGAGAACCTTCACAGACATAAATGTAAGCCAGTTAGGGTTTACAACTACATTAACTTCCAGGTCAAACCCATACCTTTCAACTTTCTGATATGAGAAGGGGGGGGGACACCTTCCAGCATATTGTATTCAGGCAATGGACTCACCCCCTGCCAAACCCCCAGTTATGGGGACCATTGAGTATTTATATGCCAAAAATGATTGGTTAAACCCAGAATTGTTTTTTTTTCCACAATTTTTTTCCTTTATATCGGCTCTTCAAAATAGCAAAAAAGATCATTCAGACATAAGATGAAGATTTAAGAGCAGAATAACACTTTTGGGGGTGAAATACATTTTTATAGATATCTGCACATCACACTCAAAAGCTGGACAACTGAGGACGAAAGAGGGACAAAGGGATTTGGTTCCAAATGAGAGACATTTGGAAGTTGTCACTTTAAGTACTTTTTTAATGCTTTTTTTGTAGAACAGCCAAAACTGGAAGAGAGGGTATAGGGCTACAGACATTGATAGACAAAATAGACTCCAGACTCACCAATCCCTTCCAGCTTCTACAGTGTGGGAATACTTTAGTTGAGCAGAGGAGGACGCTGTGTAAGAGAACCACAGCTGAATAGAGGACATGCTTGAGATCTTCCCTGGGAGAGACCAGACTTGTTCTTGAGGTCCATGCCATCCTGGCCTTCCTGACATCTCCAGCAGATATAGAGCTCTTCTGCTTCTCCATCCCAGACAATTCCACCAAGTCCACATATGGCCTCCCGTCAGCTTCTCCAACCTTGTGCATCTTACCCCCAGGCCTAGTCTCGGGAGGACTGCCCCGAGCACATGGCAATTCCTGAGTATTTATGCACTTCCCCAGCATGCACCACTGGCCATGAAACTCATAGGGGTCTATTCACAAAGCTGCCGAAGGATCTGGCCGTAGCTTCGGCCGATCCTTCGGCTAGCTTCGGCACCAGGACCCCTTCGGTTCAGGAGAACCAAGGGGGTGCTGTACGGCTATTCACAATAGCCCGTACAGCTCCCGATCACGGCCGAGCGGCTCAGTCGAGCGCTGAGCCGTGCTGAAAGAAGATGAAGAGACATAAAAACTCCCAATGTTCTCCCACTGGCTGCCCCACTCTGTGGCAGGGTCACACAACACTACAGGTAGATGCAGAAAATAGCAGAACACCTAGGAATGACCAAATGATCACAAACTACAAATCAGCCAGACTGATTACAGTTCCAGCAACACTACATTTAAAGAGCCACTCCACTTAGGGTGAAGGGGCTATCTGTGAGGTCAACTACTGATGTTGGATGAGAAGACCTGACTCACCATGGGTGTTTCTAATCATCCCAAAGGTGTCCGGTAGGGTTGAGGTCAGGGCTCTGTGAAGCAAACTCAAGTTCCTCCACAACAAACTCATTAAACTATGGGGTCTATTCACGAAGCAGCCGAAGGATCTAGCCGTAGCTTCGGCCGATCCTTCGGCTAGTTTTCGGCCCCAGGACCCCTTCGGTTCATTAGAACCGAAGGGCTGCTGTACGGGCTATTCACTATAGCCCGTAGAGCTCCCGAACTTGGCCGAAGCTGGTCGAGCGGCCGGCCATTGGCCGGCGGACAGCCTGCTTTTGACAGCTGGGCGGAGCCAGCCGTGATCTTACGGCTGGCTCCGGCCACTTTTAGAGAGATCACCGTCCCTGGTTACCCGCTAACCAGGGACACAGACCTACAGCAAACTATCAGCACAAGGATAGAAGAGCACAATTGTCTTAAATGTTGTCTCCTGCAATATTAACAGAACCCTTCATTGGACACATCTTAACCTCATCATTTGGAGGGGTATCAAGCTCTTTTGGCCAGGCACATGAGGCATTGACAAAGACCTCTAAGTACTGAAGTTCATCTTCCTTTTTACAAACCTTTCCAGCTCTGTTCAGAACCTTACTTACTTAGACCAGCAAAAAAAAAAACACTTAACACCTTATAGTGAAATAACTTTTAATGTTCACATGAATTGAAATAAATAAAAAGTTCTCAAAATTGTCAGTTAAATTAAGTTTGACCAAGAACACCTGCCGGTTGGTGAAATAAATTAGATTATCAGATAAACCAATAAATAATAGATTATACACATGCATAACACACTATGCTTGGACATTGCATCGGTTACCATCACATTATCGCATAATGAAGCTTTCAAGCTGGAATATCAGTTTTTGGTGTTTTCATGTCAGCTAATGTCCAAAAAAAGACTTTGTGGCACATTTATCGAATCTGGAGAATGTACCTCTCAGTCATGACTTCGTTCACAATAAAATATTCCCATATTCATTAAAGATGTTTATGAAAGTGCTAAAACGATGAAGAGAAATCTACTCTAACCTCCTGCAAAGGAAGCCATTAATGAATTAGACCAAATAGGGTCAGATCACAATGGCAACACACCGGGATGAGGATACTTATCTTAAAAAAAAGTGACAGGTATGTTTTTGCTGAGACTAATAAGATTGGAAATTATAGTCACGCGGCTGAGATAAAGATACGTATCCTTGTGTTAAAGCTTTGTGAATTGAGCCTGAAGTCTCATAAAGAGGTAAAGTGACAGGGACTTTGAAGAGGACTCCCCCCATAGCTGTGTTCCCCCACCACTTCCTTCACAATCGGTGACAATACCTGGCATTTCCAGACAAGGCCAGGTCATGGGGTCACAGGAGGGGGAACAAAAAGGGCAGGGACTACTGATGGAAGGGGATATATTTTGACCTTTTTCACCTGGGATACAAAATGACCTAGTCCTGCAACTGCTTCCAGGTATTGAAAAGCATGTGATCTCCACTCCATGACAGTGCTCGGGTTTGAGTGCCGTCTCACGACTAAGGGATGTCACTGCTCCCCCGGGTCACCATCACCAGTCATTTTAGTGCAGAAAAGGAAGGAGCAATCAAGGAGCACAGGCAAGATAATTATAAACGGGGGAGGGGGTTGCTTGGGGCCCTTTGCAGAGACATTGTTACTTTACTCTGCATGAGAAAGGCGTCAGGGTCTCTTTAAGCATCGACTGTAGTCACAAGTTCACTCGAATGTCCAATTATGTATAATTATTATCTGCAGTCTCAAGAAGGTCAGTTCTGTGGAACCCTCCACAGCCAGTTTCCAGAGAGCTCCAGGAGGGTAGGATTCCCAATGTCTGTCTTGTAAAGCTTCCCCTCTCTTTGCTTAATGTACCAGATTCAAACTTTCAGGCCCCCATGAGATCTCTGCTCTGCAGTAAAGTGTGGTGCAATGTGGATTTTACTGTGCGTTACGGCGATGCACTTTGCACAGTGTGTTATGGTTGCTATTCATTTGGAATGACACCCTAAGCAAAAGTACAGTAGGTGCCAAAGACCGGCAGTGCCGCATATTGCAACACACGTGCCGTGCATTGTTGTGGGCCGTCACCACTGCGCTACTTCATTCACTATGTAATCACGACGGAATCAGTGCTGACATCAGTGCTGCTCTTTGTATCATTGAGGGCCACCCACCGCCGGAAGAAAACCAAAGAGGAGGAGGGACCCGGCGAGTCACTTGACCTTACTGATGACATTGAAAAATGGTGATTTTTTTTCTAAAAAAAAAGCATTAAACATACAATACATGTTTCCGGGTGGGAGGGGTGTGATTAAAAGGTGTGAGGCTGAGCCCGGAGTTGGGCTTTAAATAAGCCAATAGGCTTAAACAGCAGGGCACAACCATTGTACAGCACTATAAAGCAGGAAATACAACCTGTAGATATGTGAAGAGCAACTATGGCTGCTCTTTGGGTACATGTGTGACTTCAGACTATACCAGGGACAATTATTGATCAGATTCATTTCATGATCTTTTTCTCATGCATTAAAAAAAAAAATCCCCAATATGTTAATACACATACATGGGCAATTCCTGCCTTCTGATACATGTGCTTCATTGTGCTTTGGAACAATTACCAAATACACTTTGATGTTATCATTATTATTCTGAATTAATGCAATTGTGACCTGTAAATATATATTCCCAGTCCATACTGGTCCGGTTAATGGTAATGGGCACTCATGTTGCCGGAGCCAAGATGTGGCGTGGACACAGAACCAAACCCCCCCGGAGGTGCCTGGAGGCTGTGCCCAGGATACAGAGCCGAGGGGGTGCTTGGCCAGTAAGAGAAGCTGGCTGGAGAGACTCCGGAGGCCATAAGGTTAAGTTTCGAGAGGCTGGGGAAGGGTAAGTGTGGCAGGTTGCCTTGGAATTTGTAAAGTGACTGTTCGGGGGTGGGCGCAGATTGGCACACTTGCGCCAAGCCGTGGAAGTCGAACTTGTAGGCGTATCTCTTTCCGTGCACTTTGGCCATGATGTTTTTGTCATAGTAATAGCGCAGGGCTCGGCTGAGCTTGTCGTAATTCATGTTGGGTTTGCTCTTCCGCTCACCCCAACGCCGGGCGACCTCATCAGGATCGGTCAACTTGAACTCTCCATTGGTGCCCTCCCAGGCAATGCAGTTGGCATTGGAGTGGTCAGACAGCAGCTCTAAGAGGAATTGCCACAGCTGTATCTGCCCGCTGCCTGTGGAGACAGAAAACATGTGATTAGTGCCAGGTAGATGGCCAATCAGCCAAAGGTAAGTCAAGGAAACCTATGGAACCCCTATAGCTGGGACCCAGATGTAAGATTACTCTATTGGACAGTTTAACCATAATCTTAAAGGAGAACTATGAGGTGAGTGCTTTTCACTCACCTCATAGTTCTAGCCGACCTGTGACAATGAGACTGTCACAGGTCGGCTCAGTAGATCGGGAGGTGAGCGAACACATACTGGCGTTCACTCACTTCTCGATCCTGTCACGGCTCTCTGCCGTGACAGGGGAGGGGCTGGATCCGATCCTCCAGCGATGACTGGAGGAACGGACGGGGGAGGGGGCGGTTACAGCTGGTTCTGCCTCTAGATAGGCAGAGCCAGCTGTCACTCACGCAGCTGGGCGGATCCCGGCACAATTGTCGGGATCCGATTTAGCTGCGGCGTCTCAGTATACCGCGAGCTGTAGCTCGCGGTATACTGAGCTTAGGGTGACGGGAGGACGCTAGTTTGTGTCCTCCCGTTACCCTAAGGAGAACTATGGGGAAAAGCCCTAACCCTAAAGTTCTCCTTTAACTAGGGATGTAAGGGAATTATTCATAAACCTCCTGAAGGCAGCCGAGTGAATAACCCAGCCGAAGTGAAGTGAGCTGAACAACGTTCGGCTATTTACTCCGGCTCAGTACGGCTCATTCTCTGCATGCTCGGCATTCGGCTCGGCTATTCTGCTCAGTACCTCCGTGGCTCTGCCCAGGTGCCATTTGCGGGGCTTACGGCCGGCCTTACATAAAAAAATACATAAAAATAAGTTACAAATAAATACATTACCCTTTTTTCCTGAACTAAACTTTTATTCAAATGTCAGTTTTAAAAATCATAAATGTTTATTATTTTTAGTTAAGGTGCACAGTCATATTAAAGGGCCAGTCCACCTAAAACATCTATATAAAAGTGTTTGATAGAGATTGGAAAGATAAACCACCTGACAGTCTCTTCTATCTCTTGGCAACTTTGCCGTGTCTAGTATGAGGAGCTCCCACAATCCCTGCTAAATAGTTGTATTATGGAGAATGTAACAGCAGGAGCTGGAACACACAAATGTGGACAGGAACACCAAAACACCCGCCAGACTAAAGCAAAGCTGGGAAGTATGGAAGGGAGATCTCACTGTTGGAGCTTCCAAGACATATATGAAGCCGGGGCTGATAGTCAATGTTTAAACCGGAAAATGTGAATATGTAATGAACAGTAGGAGCATTTTTTTGGTGAATCGGCAGCAAACGTGCAGTGAATGTGTTGGCTGATTAAAGTGAACACAGCTTCACCTTATTGACTAAACTCAGAGAACATTCACTGTGATAGGTAAACAGTCTATTCCTTTAGTAAATCAACTCTATATGGCTTAATGCTTACTCTTCTCTGGACAGAAACATGTACCTAAAATCTTAGATTATACATACTGTATATATATATAT